AATATTGTGAGAAAAGCATATGAGGTGAGCTGCATTTACTGAATGTAAAGAACTGACATTACTCAACAGGTTATAGTGATTTGTTATTAAGATACGGGCTCCACACTGCCTAAATTTAAAGAGAAGTATACAAAGACACTGGCGCCTGCACAGCAACTCCACATACTTCAAGCAGGAATCCCCGACCACAGGCTGAGCCTCAGCAGACAGCAGGAGCAGGTTCACATCAGGAAACCCCACGAAGCCTCACAGTGTCAGCATGTGTGAGAGAAGAATGCCAACGGTTCGGCCCAGTTCTGCTGCTTCCAAGCTGTCTCAGCCATTCTCATCAGTAAGATGAAATAAGACCTGCTCTGCCTCTCTCACAGAGCAACCCTCAGGCCCTCTGCTGGTCCTTGAACCTAGGCCCTCAAACACATCCAGACAGCTGCTGGCCCAGCTGCCCCTATGAATAGAGAAGCAGCACCAAGGGACAAGGAAATAGTGGGATTCCTAGATTTACAAAAAGCCTATCCCCATGACAGGCCAGGAAACCAGAAGTGAGAGGCTTTGCATGGCTCAGTGAGCAACCATCCAGAATACCCCAGCACCTTAGCTGGAAAGCTCAGCCTGCTTTCTAGAAGCAGCTCGGTTGTCACCCCAGAAAACATGCAAGTTTCTAGTTTGCATCCAAAGGAGGATCAAGGTATCATGACATTGAGCCTTTAGGCAGGCTTCATAAATATAACCTATATTTCTTATCACCTAAAGTTTAAGCAAAATGTGGCAGGACCCAGTTTTGGTTTTTGGTTTTTTTTTTTTTGCAGCTGGCCTGAACAGGGATCGAACCCTGGACCTGGACCTTGGTGTTCTCAGCACCACGCTCTGACCAACTGAGCTAACCCATCGGCCTATAGATCCACATTTACATAGTGGACATTTACTAGCCTGCACAGAACTTGGCTGCAGTCGAATTAAAACAGCATAGGAAACAATTCACCCTGAACTCAACTTAAAAAAAAAAAAAACACATTGGATAAATGGCTAAGGATCGATGGATATGCCATATCAGATAAAACATGCGGAGAAAATAATCAGAGGTTGATTGGGGATTATTACTATTTTTTTAAGTCCTTATAGCTCAAGTCAAACAGACGTGAGGCTTCCTTTTAAGGGTTCTCCCACACACTATCTTCTCCGGCCGGCAGATGTCACCCTTCGGTTTACAAAGATTCACTCACGGCTTTCTTCTGGATGAAAAGCTGCGCGCCCTGCAGGTGGCCGGCGATGTTCTCACACAGGCGCTCCCGCTCCTCTTCTTTCAGCACGTTCACGTAGAACGTCCGCACCTGCTCGGGGAGAGGAGTACGGACAATCAGGAGCCAGTTCGCTGCGAACAAACCCCACCCGAATGTGCCACTTCTGAAATGAACGATCCAGGACTCTGTAGAATTTATGAATTTAAAATTATAATTAGAATGGCGTTTGTGTTGAGTTCTTCACTTTTGTTTCAAGCAAAACAGGGAGAATTCATTTGTAGGTAATAATGTCCTTCGTAGTCACCGCTTATAAATCTCTTATAGAGGGCCTACAGTTAAAAACCCCACCACATTCTTAATCCTGACAAGTTCATAACACACAAGCTGTCTCTGAATGTAAACAGCACAATACAACCTCTGTTCAATTCACCCAGAACCATGGAGGAAAAAAGCCTAATTCCTTTATTTCTATCTATATCGATGTCAATACATATATAGATATATATCCATAGTTATTCTGAAGCCAAGATTTCTTGGGCAAGATAGATATGAATAGTCATATTTTGCTTAGATTATTGGGTTTACCTCTAAAATGAATACCAACAGACTGAAATGAAAGATGGAACCTTAGTATCGGGAATATGAATCCTTGTAGCCTCTGCTCAGTTCTGAAATCAACCATTTCTAGTTGTAGCTATGATTATTTTCTAACATTTCATTCACTCTTTCATACAACAAATATTTACTGAGTATCTATAATGTGCCAGACTCTGTTCTATTAATGTTTATAAGGTCCAATAATATCCAATTATCTAAAGTATTAAATTCATAATATAAAATATGCATCAATATTCTAAGTAAGTTAGAAATATCAGGCTATAATTACATTTTTTTTTAATTTGAGCAAAGTTTAAACCTGATACCAAAGTTTAAAAATCAGACTTTCAGTATTAACACAATCCGATCAAAGTACCACATCATGGGGATTTCCTCAGATCTAGCTCCAATTCACTAATTCTCTTTCATCAGTATCTAACATATTGTGTAAACATCCATTGAGTGACTATATCTGTTGGATTTTTATTTCAAAGATTGGAATTTTTGTTTCTATAAATTTCCATATGGCTCGTTTTCAAATCTACCCATTTTGTTTTGAACACCTTGTTCTTATTTTACAGATAATATTCCTTTCTGCATCTCTTTAAATCTGTACACATGCTTATCTTCAAGCCCCTTTCAGGTTATCATGTGTATGATTGCTACACGTACTGCATGTGCAATTTCTCAGGGCACTGCATTTCCTTGTGTGTACTGTAATTGTTCCCTGTGACTCATCTTCATCAGGAGTTATCTTCTGCAGAAGTACCACATGTGCCTTACTTGTGAAGGGGTCTTCATGTAGTGATTTTCTCATCATCTCTGCAAAGGCTTAACAGAGTTCATTGATTCACTTGTTTCTTAGTTCAGGGTTTCCACATGGTTCTAAGTGGGACAAGAATGTAGGAATTGCACTTGAGCACAGCACAGGGGAAGAACTCCCAATTTCTCAGGACTGACTGCTTCCATTTACACCCATATACTTCCAAGCAGCATCCTCAGTCTGGTGGGTAGTTTCTCCAGTTTGGTGCCCTTTCCTAGCCTTTGCCATTATGGCAAGAGCCCAGTTCTAGCTCTCTGCAACACATGAAGCCTATGGCCTCAACTCCTAACCCCTTGGAGGCATAAAATCTTCTTAAGGAGCAAACCAGGTCTGGTTACCCCCATGAGATGTATCCCATCAATGTACACTCACTACTGTGATTCCTTTTCCATTTTTGAGACCTGGAGATTGAACTTTCTTGTTTCTTTAGCTCAGTTACCTTTTTTTAAAAAAATATTTAATCTAGCATGTCTATGTGTGAGAAGAAGAAAGACCTCCTGTGTCACCTCAATCTTCCATCTTGAACCTTAATCTACACCTCAATCTGTCACCTCAGTCTACAATCTTGAATTGTGACGAGGTAGATTGATTTAGCTTATGCCATTTTTACTGTTTGAAAAGTGTTCTTGTTTGAAAGCCCCCCAACACCTGTGGTGAACATTGAAGGTTAAAAATTGTCCTGTACCTAAAAAAATTTTAAGTTCTGCCTGCCTTTGCTGTTTCCCACTTATGCTGTCCCTGACTGATAACACCAAGAGCTGTATCCGGATGTATCTAGACAACCCAAGGAGGAAACCGCCCTGTGAAAGTTTTTGCTGTCCCTAAGTGATTAACTGGTTTCTTTCAGCTTCTGTTATCAGCTTGCGCTAGGCCTCCCCAAACCCCCTCCTCACGCCAGGAGGGTATGTATGTATGTATGTATATAACTATATGATAACTGTAAGTATGTAACTATATGATTTTTTGCCTGTGTGACTATGTGCCTTTAAATGACCCCTTAAACTTAAACTCAGGGCTGCTTCCTTCCAAGCCTTTCTTGGAGAAACAGTCGTCAGCCAGCCAATAAAATCCCCCTTTTAAATTCTCTATTGGGTGTTCTGGTTCCTTTTCCGTGTGGCAGCCTCACAACAGAACATCTTGAACTTGCAATTCTTGAACTGCAGGAATTTGTTCCTGCAGTTCCAGTGGTATGCTGCAGCCAGCTTGCTCATGAGAGCAGACTGTCAAAATTTCAGGAATTGTGTGAGCAAGTTGTTAAGCATGCTGATCATAAAAATTAAATTATATAAACTTACAATTAAATAAATTATGCTACAAACAAAAACAATAAATACTCAAAACACATCACTTTCTAATTACCTATATTTTTGAGGTTATAAATGTCTATTGTATCTCATGGTGGAAACACTATATAATAGTGATACTGAGCATCACTTCCCAATGCCACAGGTTCAGTGACATCATGGTGGTAGCTTGAAATCAGCCCTGGGGAGTATTTCCACCCTTAAAATAGATAGACACTACAAACCAGGGCTTTCTTCTCCAGAGAGTCAGCTGTTAAATATCTGTCAACACACCACTGAATAAAACCTATATAAAATGCTTCCTCTTCCAGAGATTTGGTTAATCTTCAGTTTTAAGAAGTTTTTTAAAAAGTACATGTACATATACAAAGATAAACAGCATACCTATTTCAGCACATGGGATAAGAAGACTACATTGTAAAAATCACCAAACCCTAGCTTCAGCATTCACTACTGTTCAGGTAAAGGGCAGGTTGGGACTTGTCAAACTGGAGAAGTCTCAACAGTGATCTGATCTGCATATTCTTATGCTTGACTAACAACCACTATCAATATATAAATCAGCCACTCACTGCAGGAGGGCATGAACTCCACAAATACACCAGCTGTTCTACTTTATTAAGCAGATATGGATTCTGAGTGCTTAAGCAACTCCACATTTAACCACAGACCCTTAATGGCAGGAACAAATTCCTTAAAAGGAAAAGTAACATTTTTACTAGTCAATACAAAGTAAGAGAATATTTTCTTTTCTTTAATAAGCTTTTTAAATTTAACTGTAATGTGCCTACAGTAAAGGGCACCAATCATAAGTGTGAAGTTCAATAACTTTTCAGCGAACACAACTGTGTATCAACCACCCAGATCAAGACAGAGCACTGCTGACACCTTAGAAACCCCCCACCGTGGCTCCTCCCAGGCACTATCCCCTCTCTCCACCCCAAAGCCAATTTTTTTTACTTCTAATATCATCAATGTGTTTTGGCTCTTTTTGAAATTTATCTAAATGGAATCACATAATCTGTATCTTCTTTCTGGCCTTTTTGCTCAATGTCATGTTTATAAGATTCATCTAAGGGCCGGCCGTGGTTCACTCGGGAGAGTGCGGTGCTGAAAACACCAAGGCTACGGGTTCGGATCCTATATAGGGATGGCCGGTTCGCTCACTGGCTGAGCGTGGTGCTGACAACACCAAGCCAAGGGTTAAGATCCCCTTACTGGTCATCTTTAAAAAAAAAAAAGATATAAGATTCATCTATGTTATTTGTTATTGCAGTCGTTCAATAATTTCCATTGCTTTACATTATGGGAATACACTACTGTTTATTTACCCATTCACTTATTAATGAACATTTGGGTAATATGAACAGTCTTGTAAATGCCTTCTGGTGCTCATATGTACACATTTCTATTGAGTATCAACTTAAGAGTGGGCTTGCTGGGTCAAAAGGCATACACATGTTCACGTTTAATAGATGCTGCCAAACAATTTTCCAAAACAGCTGAACCAGTTTACACTCGGGTCAGAGTTACAGTTGTTCCTTGTTCTCACAACATTTGGTATGACCAGTCTTTTTAATTCTAGCCATTCTGGTACATGTATAGTGGTGCTTCTTTGTGGTTTTATTTTGCATATATCCTTGATAACTAATGAGGTAATCTGCCTTTCCATGTTTTTCAGCCATTGGATATCCTCTTTTGTGATGTGTTTATATAAGTGTTGCCCATTTTTCTACTGTTATCTATCTGTTTCCTATTGCTTTGTAGGAGTTCCTTATATGAGCGTGCTTCAAAAAGTTCATTGAAATATTTGCATAATTTTTTAATTCTATTTTTCCATGAACTTTTTGAAGTACCCTCATGTAGTCTGTATATGAATGCTTTGTTAGACGAATTGCAAATATATTCTCCCATTCTGTGACCCACCTTTTCAATTTCTAAATAGTATCTCATGATAAAGAGACATTCTTGTTTTCTCTCTCTTCATAAGCTAGTCTTGATAAGATCTACTGCTTTATTTTCCAATTCACTAATCCTCTCTTCAGCTGTGTTAACCTTTTTAACCCATTTACTAAATTCTTAATTTTGGTTGTTGCATTTTCTAGTTCAGTATGTCCATTCAATTTTTTTTTTATTGCTTAAAATTCTCTTATTAAATTTTCCATGCTGTCATCTATTTTCTTGAACATATTAATTGCAGTTATTTTAAAACCTGTATCTGACAATTCCATTATCTGGATCTCCAGTAGATTTGTTTTCATTGTAGTTTGGGGGGTTTTTCCCCATCTCAACTTTCAGTCATAAGGTCTCATGTGTTATGTATGCCTAATAATTTCTTATTGAATGCTGGACATTTGTATATGAAATGGTCTAGAGGCAATTTGATATTCCATTTTCCAACAAAGAAGCCTTATATTTGCTTCTGGCAGGCAGTTAAGATAGAGAGACATCACCTTACTCCAGTCTGAGATTGAGCTAATGCACAATTGTGTTTCAGTTTTTGTGAGGGCAAGTTTATTTCAGATTTGCTCTTATTACTAGGCATGGCCCTACAGGGATTCCAACTGAAAGCCTGGTGTGATAACTAGAGGCTTTCCTCCTTAGCACTCCAATTTTTGTTCCTCCAGCCCCATGAGACTGCTGTAAACTCTGTTCAGCATCCTGATCAATGCTTACAAATTAATAAATGCCCTATTAAGAAAGGATAATGAGGCTATTGCTTACACATTAAAATTTATGTTCATTCTTATTTTATTGAGAGGTTTTCTTGTCACTGTATAGGACTCGTTTTTAAGCAGTCATGATACTGTTGTTATGGGTTCATAGCATAATTCTATAGTAAGAGTCACATGGGAAATACATAAGAAGGTTCAGAAAGTTAAGCACTGGCCTCATTAATGAACTGGCTGCCCACCCACAGGCCTTTCACAGTCAAAGGCCCTCTTTCATAGCATCTACTAAAAGAGCCCTTAGGGCAGCCATAGGTGACTGGGAAAAGGATGAGCACTTGATCTGGGGCAGTTAACTATAAGCTGACCAAAGGCCAGTGATGCAACCTGGGGTGAAAAGATTAGCCAAGTCAATCTGATTCCCTCTCTATAGAATCCAATACAGAAGTATTGGGAGGAGTGAAAGGTGGTTGAAACAAAAAAAAAAGTAAAAAGTAATACATGGAGAAAGAAGGCATAAAGTACAGTTAGACCATGTCACAGCAAAGCTAAAACAATGATAAAACAGAAGCCATGAGGCAGAGAGGAGGAAAACAGGAGGACATGTTTAGAACAAGCAGTTAAGATTAGAAAGCAGAAGCAGACAGATGGAGAGCAGCTGAGTCATGTGAATTGTGAGCCCTACAGTGGAAACACCCATAGTCTTGATACCGAGGCTCTTAGAGCTATTTTGGATCTCCAGTCCTAGTCCCATGAATCTGGGATGTCCAGCCTGGATTCTTGAGATTTGCTTGTACTTAATCTGTACTTGCTCATTTCTTAGGTTTCCATGGGATGACTATTTCCCCAGTGGCACCCACCTGTATCCCTTCAATAAACTTTCAGGGAACTAAGATGAGTCTACTTACCTTGAACAGAAAGAATAGAGCGACATAACTCTTAATTCTATGTAATAAAGGGACTAATTTGCTATTAAAGATAAGTCTTTCCTGAATTCACGTTAAGACACATTAGACACCTTAAGAGGCAAAATTATGCAGACATTAATGACTCCCATAGCAGACAAAGAAACCATTACCTGAGTGACATTATCATCGTTGGCACTGTTGTAGCGCTTCACATCACCAGAACATTGGATGCTATGCTCCAGGAGAGAAGGCTGTTGTTCTGGAGCACTAAAGCTATTGGGGTAGTAATTTGGAGCACCACCTTTAAAGGAAAACCACACATATTGTCTTAGGAATATAAAAAATGAAGCAAGTCTGCGAACATTCCATGTGCTAAGAAATAAGTTCAAGTGGTAATCAAATACACATATTATTTTTAACTTCCCATATTTAGCTGCAGGCAGTACTAAGATCTTGGAGAATACTTCCCTCTTCTAAATGCCCACATGGGCTGTCTCACCCTGAGTCTTAAGGAAGAGATCTCAAAGTCCACTTCAACACTTCAAATGGTCTAATCTATAAAATCTTCTGATGCTTACCGGTACAAGTTTACACAGATTTGATCTGGCCACAATAAACATGAGACCCAAAGACACATTTCAACCTTGAGGGTTTCATTTAGGCTTGAATCACATAATTCTTGAAAGCCACCTGAAGGTCCTGGTCCTGCTCCTGCTCCTTCAATTTACAGACACAAATATGGAGCTTTGAGATGTTAACTGGCTGCTGCAAGGTTACACAGTAGCTGGTGGGAGACATGGGATTAGAACTCTGGGATTTTTGTCTTGTCAAGCCCAGCAGGCACTGTACTTCCATTACAGACTCAACTTGGCTATTCCTTAAATGTTTTTAAGGTTCTCAGGGTATTTCTCCTTTACCCACTATGATGACTTTATCCAATTTAGCTTCACTTTCATGTCCCTCCACAGATAAATCAAAAAGGGATTTAAAAAATTTTGATATTTGCAGTATGTCAGCACTCATCTGGACATATAGAAATAGTGACAAATACAATCAAAACATTTTCTAAGACTTCTGGCATAAATTATAAGACTTTTTTGGACATATCTCTTTTCCTAACTATGCTTTGGCCAATATCAGCAGAAGCTTGAATTATCTGAGCACACAGTGCCTAAACTGCAGTGGCCTAGAATTGTATTAAGTGGTTTCAGCAAACCAGCCTGGGGTTGGAATTTTACCCAGCTCACTGCCAGAATAAATTATCCACAGTGGCTAATCAAGAGATGTCTCTGCATCACATTGATCTATACACCAAGTGTGTGTGTAGAAGAAGGGAGGACACCATACAATTACAGAGCCCAATTATTAGCTCGAGAAATTCATTCTAGGTCAGCCATATCTCTATAAAAAGCAAAATGCTCCAACAACCAGCCACCACAGTGCCTTCTGCATTAAGAATAACCTCTTTGAAATGTGCCTATTTGAGTAATTTAAAATTTTTATTTCCAAATAAGCTCTGATCTTCACTCAAAGTGGGAGTTGTCTTTAAGGCATTCCCCCTGGGAACAACTGAGCTCTTTCGTGAAGCTTCAAGAGCACAGCCCAAATGCTCCACCTCCAAAATTAGGCAAAGGCTGTGTCAAAATATGTCCTTATGCACTTTTTTTATGAGTATTCCACTATAATGGTAAATAAGAATGGTAAGCATGAAGTAACTACTTATTAATGAAGTTCAAAATATACATGAAGCTCTCTGCCATAGACAGTTTCAATAAAGAAAGAACCAAGGAAATATGAATGAACAACAAAAAAAGGAACAGAAGAATAAAAATGCAGAAGATAGACACAAGAAGTATCAATTACTTTGGGCAACAACATACATGATGTCTTTGTAAACCTCAGGCAGAACTACTGTAGCCACCTAACATGAGTAGTTAGTAAGCATATAAACTTGTTAGATACACAGAAAAGGCTTAGTGATAAGGCAACAAAAGCAACTTATATATAAAACATATATAAACCAACTTATATATAAAAAATAATCTTAAGTATATAAAAAACATTCACAGAAAAGATTGTCAAGAAATACAGCAAAATGTAACAGTCGCCTTCGGGTGTTGGGACTGTAAGTGGGTTGTTCTTCTCTATTCTCTTCTTTCCCCTATATTTTCCAAATTTCCTTTAGGGCACATGTATTATTTTTATCCTAGAAAAATAAACTGTGTTTGAATATAGACATCTACAGCTATAAATGTAAATTATCAGTAAAATTTCTGAAGGGATCAATGTATGTAATCTATTACTAAAAACACACGTCCTAAATAGGAAAATAAAAAAAGTAAGATTTCTTAAAATTATCCTGATTTGAGCATCACATATTGCACACAGGTATTGATATTCAATGCTGTACCCCACAGATATGTACGATCAACTATGTTACAATAAATAATTTTTTTTAAAAGGCATTCTGCTTGAATAATTAAATAAGTAATTAGAACTAGTGGCTGTTTTTACATGGCACCAAAAAAGATAGTTAAATGAAAAAAAATCATAAATTTAATAAATGAGCTCCAAGAAGCCACAACGCAGTGGTTTCATCATACAGTTGATTTATGTGAATTTAGCTATTCACTCAGGAAAAAAAATTAGGGCAAATCCCTTGATTTACTTTATCTCCCCTAGTCCCATCTCCCTACCCTCCCCGTCCCTTCCAAATTCTAGCTAAACTTGCTTCTCCCTTGGCCTCAAAAGAATTGCAAAGAGAACAGAAGACATAAACTCTTGGTTTTTGCACTTCCAAGGGTCTAAGTCTTGGTGATTGAAGAGTGAGTTAAGGAACCGTCCATTTTATAAAATCTTTAAAACCTAACTTCTAAGTTGGATGCTACTTTACTATAGCCACTGTGAAAGATCTTTCTCCTTACCTTTAACTATCAGATGGACAGCAAAAAAATGTGAGGTGGGAATTCTGTATAAAATACATAAAATAGGGCCAAGCCTGTGGCTCACTTGGGAGAGTGTGGTGCTGATAACACCAAGCCCACGGCTTCAGATCCCTGTATAGGGATGGCTGGTTGGCTCATTTGGGAGAGCGTGGTGCTAACACCACCAAGTCAAGGGTTAAGATCCCCTACCTGGTCATCTTTAAAAAAAATAAATAAATAAAATAGATAAAATCATGGAGAGTCCTCAGGCAGCTTAAACCTTCACTGCTGAGCAAAAATCACCAGGTTCTTGGTTCACCTGTAGAGCACCTTCACAGGGCAGGAGATCCCATGTGCCAGTTTGGAAACCACTGGCCTGGTGTCCCACCCATCTGCTTCACATGCCCTCTGCCCTCTCAGGAGGAGCCAAATGTCTTTAGGCCTACCCTGATTGTCCAGCATGCACATGGGGCCATCACGCTGGTAGTTGGCCACTCGAGCACGGAAGGGACAGTTCACAGGTATCTGAAGATAGTTGGGTCCCAGGCGGTGACGATGAGTATCAGGATAGGAAAAAAGGCGGCCCTACAGTAATAAAAACATAGACGTTGACTGTGGACAGTAACAGATAAAATAGGAATGGGCTATAAACTTCACTCTACAAGTTAAAGTACAAAGCAGTCTGTACATGGTCGCCACACTACCCTGCCTAATCCCCCCACTAAGGAGCCAAGTCTCCTCTCTCTTATGAAATGAGTTCTCCCTAACTGAACAGTCCTTAATCTTGCATGACACATGGCCAACCACAAATCTTCACACTTGTTCTAGAAAATAATGCCCCCTATTCCCCCCAAATAACAAGTTAGTGTCCTGTCTTATATTATTTCTCATTCCCAAGTATCACATTGTAAAATACATTTGCTAGCCCTAATTGGAATCCTGAATTAATTCCACTCTTCCCCATTCCACTAACCCAAGGGAGGAATCAACCACTTGCTCCTAACAAAAAGCAGCACATCTCTACAAAACCAACAGTAGAGGAAATTCTTCAAAAAAAAAAAAAACACCCTCGTGTCGCATTCTTTTTTTAAAAAAAGATGACCAGCAGGGGATCTTAACCCTTGACTAGGTGTTGTCAGCACCATGCTCTCCCAAGTGAGCCAACCGGCCATCCCTCTATAGGGATCCGAACCTGTGGCCTTGGTGTTATCAGCACCGCACTCTCCCAAGTGAGCCAACCGGCCATCCCTCTATAGGGATCCGAACCTGTGGCCTTGGTGTTATCAGCACCGCACTCTCCCAAGTGAGCCACCAGCCGTCACCTCTCACGTCGCATTATGAATTATCTCACATACACTTTGAACTCTGAGACTTTCTAGATAGAAATGAAGTGCTACACCTAGAAAGCTATGGTTCAAAATGACAGCCCTCCAATGCCAAAGGTAATGAATCCAAGGTTAAATGATGTTACATGTTAACCAAGGCAGGATGGTAAGCATTTTGAAATTTCGCAAAAAGCTTTATGATTAACTCCGTGTTAACCTTACTGACCATTAAGTATTCTCATTATTCAAAGTTCTACTGAATAAGTAATTTTTCTTTCACTGACTTCAGTATTAGCCTTGAATCTTAAAGAGTATTCATATTTCCCTAATTCAATGAGGCAGAGTAAAAAACAAGTTGAATAGGCCAACTTAATCAATTATTTTGTACCAAATCACTCGTATCAACATGCTTTATCCAGTCCCACTGTTCTGTCAATAATATGCTCTTGGCTGAATGACTCCACCTCCCATAATCATTTCAGATAGTCTAGGGCAATATTTAGATGACGAGTCATGCAGCAGCAACGACTAAAACTCACCTACAGTTCGGAAGCTGGTTGCCTCCTTTGGCTCAAAAAGTTGTGCTGTAACTCTATCAACAGGATAGAAGATACAATTGGGCCATGAGAAGCTCCTGGGGCTAGCCTCTACCATATAATTCTGGTTTTGTGTCACATTGTGTCTATCACATGACCCTATGCCATCTATGAGTGATTGAGACCCACAAATGCTGGGAAGTGGGCACAGCAAGGCCATACCCTGACACCAGCTTGATTCTAGGCCTTAGGGCCCTGTGCCTGAACTCTCTGTCTTGATCTGCGTGAGAAAGCAGAACAATCCTTTCCCTCTCAAGCAATTGGCCCAACTTCTTTTCCAACTCCTGGTAAACAGCAGAGTATGGAATAAAGAAAGGCTGCACCTGCTTCATCAGGCACTCAGGGGACAGTCTCTCTATGGCTTGCATTATACTATTTTGTCCATTTCACCACTGTCTGGCTTACCACTTTGGATAAAGTTTTAAAATTTATTAACACGGCCTTGTACCAGCCCAAGGCACAGCACTCATTAGCTCTCACAGGAATAACTTCAGGGTCCTCCTGACTGGCTCTCCCTTTCCATTCTCTACTCCAACAATACAACCTACATATTCCTGCCAAAAGAATCTTCCTGAGGTCCCTCTCAGATTATACTACTTACCTACTCAGAACATCTTAAACAATTCCTCACTGGTCACCAAAGGGCTAAATGAGTACAATGCCCCCCCAACCCAACTGTATGGCTCCTACCATGCTCCGTGGGATTAGCATTCACAGGTAAATGACTTAAGAAGTTACAGGAAAAGCTAGGCTAGGAATGATAACGAAACTCATGAAAGCTCTATTGCTTTTTAAAAACTCATTAAAAATACTAAAGAGAGCACATTAAATTTAAAATGTGTATATTTGCCAGAACTGAATTTAATCCTAATAGAAGTTACACGATTAATTTCCACTTGTCATCCATTTTCAGGACTCTTTTCAACAGATGCCTTATCATTGGCTTTCTTCTGTTGTAGGGAATATGCATTTGCTACACGGTCCCTTTCCCTGAGCCTAGTTCTCCATTCAAATCTTTGATATTCCTCAAATGGTATGACTCAGCGCTGCCATCTGCCTCTGGGTCTCACCGTGGTCCCAGAGACCCAGGGTGACTTGGATTCTTGTGGAAAGACTTTGGGTGACCTCCTATTCCTCAACCTGTTCCTTCAGTACTAGGGGTGCACAGTCTCAGCTCTGCCCACGACAAGGCGCGCCCTGGCGAATCCCACTAGCCCCTCCTCCCACAGTTAGCTCCCTGCCAACCACAGCGTCACAGCGCCTTGGCCGCCTCTACACCCCAGTTTCAATGCAAGCACATGTGCTTATTCTCTGTAATGTTACTTCCCCTTTCTTTTCGCAACCTCCAGTTCCCTCTTTTTCTATTTATCATCAGGAGGAGTGATCCTACTTGATATATACCAGACCACATTATTCAAAACTGAAGAAAACTTTTATTTTACTAGAAAAGACAACTGTACAAATTTCTACGCAAGCATTTAAGATCTCCTCTGACAAATACTCAGTGAACCTCTCCAAACTCATTTCTTCTCATTCAGAAAAGAATGACTACTTTCAGTTTAAATACGCCCAACATGTTCCACCTCTGTGCCTATACTCATGTCTCTCTCCTGCCCCTTTTTACCTGTTGTAAATCAAAATCCTACCCATTATTCCAAACCCATCTCAAATGCTACCTCATTCATGAAACATTGTCATCGACCTCTTATCAAAATTTCGCCTTCTGATTCCCCATGGCACTCTGCTTTACGTTATAGTTAATTTGTGTTTTTATAACTGTTACAACACCTGAGACAGTCTATCACACAAAATATATAGGTACTTAATTTATGTTAAATTTAACCAAAAACTAATGAAAATCTTATTTTCTATAAAAGCCTCAGGTATTCCCAACACTACAGAGAAAAAGTTATTATAAAAAAACCACAGGAATCTTAGCTTGTCCTCCAGGGAAACTGAAACCTGAACTGGAATCAGAGATTTAGGTAAGAAGCAACCTTTAGTCACTGTGGTCTGATCTAGGGTATGATCTTTAACCTTTGTTTCACGATCATCATCCAAAACACAAAAGATCAATTTACACAATAATTATTAAGCCAATTATTTTCCTACTGATTTCTGGTCCAAAGTAGAACTTTACACTCTTTGTATTCTTGAAAGAGCATATTGGAAAATGATGTAAAACATACTGAATGCCTGGCAACATTAGCAAAACAAATGGTTAAATTAACCCACTGCCTTTAAACACTGGCAGCATAAATTTAGTTTATGAAAATCCTTCCGAGATCTCTTTTTACAGATGGAAATGAATACAGTTACACTGACCCAGGCGTTATAGTCAATTACAGACTGAACAAACCATGCTTTACTCTACAAATACCTAAGTCATTTCTATTGTATTGTTTTATAAAATTAAGAGACTAAATGTTCACGTCTACACATATGTAGGAACTTCACTGTGGAATTTGGCTTTTACTTGGTTTATTCAAGGATTGCCCATGCTTCACCTCAGTGAGCCCTACAAGGAACTAAGCACCCAGATTAAAGTTTAAGTAATGTTCTAGTTGATTCCTCACGTAAAGATCATGCCCGATTGTGCAGTGTGTGCATGCATGCGTGCATGTGTGTGCGTGTATGTGTGTGTATGCACACATAGACATCTGCCGCAGGATATCTCAATCCACCAGGCTTACCTGAAGCATTTTGTCAGGGCTGGGCTCAATGCCGGGTGGCATGTTGCTTGGGTCAAAGGCTAGCTGTTCCACCTCAGCAAAGTAATTAACTGGATTCCGGTTTAAGACCAGTTTACCAACTGGGATAAGAGGATAGTCTTTGTGAGACCAAACCTGAAAATAATGTCACATTCACAATTACCAAACAGCCAACTGAGAGAAATTAAATCTAATCTACCCATAAAATACCAGCTTTCAAATATAATCAAGCCAGTGAAAACAATATTTTTTAATCCAGTAAAACCTGATAAGAACTTAAGGTGAGTACGTCAGTTAAATCTTTCACAATAGTAAAAGGTAAATATTGATGCTTTCCATGGGCAAAAGTATGTCAGCTTTTCAAAATTCATTCCCTGCCAATTACAATCTATGAAGCCACCTACATGAACTCAATGAATTTACACACAAGATCGTGGACGTGAGATGCCAGTGGGTACTCATTCACAGGCTAGGAAACTCTGAAGTGGTGCCACCGCATTTTATAAATGACTTCCCTATCTCTGTGAATGCTCGACTGGAAATTTTCAAAAATTAGGTAAGAAGAAACTTAAAAAAAAAATCAATATAGTTGTTACTGACTCACCTTGGTCACATCAAATGGATTAAATGGAAAAGTTTCTGCCTGTTTAAATGTCATGACCTGGATATAAAAAGTCCAGGAGGGGTAGTTGCCTGTAGCAATAGCATTAAAAAGATCCCGGATGCCATAGTCAGGATCTTCCTGGGAAAGTCTTGCTGCATCTTCAACAGAAAGGTTTTTGATGCCCTGGTCAGTCTACAAAATGAAAGAAAGAAGCTCAAACTGAAACTTACCTGCAAAGTTATCAAAATTTATTCAGTAATTCATTGAAAGACTGAGTGACACTACCCAAAGACTGAGCTTTCTTTATGACAATACTTCATTGTTTAAATCTGATACTAATGAATTTATCAACAAGAAATTCTACTTGATTATCCTCATTTTTTTAAATATCAAGGGAATTCAGTCTACACATTTCATATTCAAAACTAGTTTTATCTTTTCCTTTATGATCCTATATTATTTGAATTTTCATATTCATGTTAATTTTCTAATCAGAAAAAAATCAAAACTTTTTCAAATAATCGAAATATTAATAAAATTAAAGGACTTCCCGTTTCACATGAAGTAATTTTTAAATTCTCATTTTATAGTAGTTCAAATCAACTACTGAAATTGTGCTCAGCTAGTATCCCTTGACCCCCACCCTCTTCCTTTTTTCTGTTAAGAAATCATAGAATCCTAGTTCACAGAGCTGAAAAGAACTTCATTACAGCCACTCTAAACCAGTTCTCTGACTATGAGCAGGCAAAATTAGTATTGTGACTTTCCCAACAATCCATTAAAACCCAAGAAGGTATGTCACTGTGCTCCTATTATCATATCAAGCTGCTCAATAGATTTACCATGTCTATTTTATTGTGAAAGACCCCCAAGAAGCCAAGTGCCATGGAAAGATTTCCTTATCAAAAATCAGTTCTGGAAGGCTGACCTATTTCTACCAAATAAATCCCAACTCTCCCTAGTTTGAACTCTTCTTACTATTTGTACCAAAGTGAAACCATTTTTTTTTTAAGATGACTGGTAAGGGGATCTTAATCCTTGACTTCGTGTTGTCAGCACCACGCTCTCCCAAGTAAGCCAACCAGCCATCCCTATATAGGATCTGAACCCATTGCCTTGGTGTTATCAGTACCACACTCTCCCAAGTGAGCCACGGGCTGGACCAAAGTGAAACCATCTTCACAATTAAAAAATGAATATCATCATCTGCAGATCAGCCAAACAGCTAATACATTAAATTGTGCAATAATACTGCAACATCTTTCTGATTTTACTGAATCCTGGGTTTAGAAAAGAATAATCTTAGGTTGGAATAATCCAGACTGATAAATCCACATAGATCTTGGGCTACCTCTGGACCCTCTGTTGAACAGGCCCATGGGCAATCCAATCTTTCCAGGAATGTGGACAGCTGGTAGTATTATCCCAAATATACAGTGAAAAAAACTGGAACTCAGAGAACTTTTAATAATATTCCCAAGGTCACAGTCATCTAGGAGAGTGAAGATTTGAGTTTAGGTTGGCCTAACTCCAAAGCTACCAACTAGGCTGCCTGTCCCAGATACAATCATTTAGTCTTGCTCCAAGTGACACTATATTGTTCCTTTTGGCAATTACAAGCCAATGGCTCAACTATTTCTTAAAATTGTTCCTTGTCAAAGATTATAAGACCAAAAAAAAAAAAAAAAAGGAAAGACATAAAAAAAAAAACAGAAATAAAAATAATAATAATAATAAAAACAAACAAAAGATTATGAGAGCAAGTCATAAATGTAAAGAGAGGTGACAGTTTTCCCATTTGATAAAGATTAAGACAGGACAGAAGAAAAGAGGGTTTTGGGGTATCATTAGGAAGGAGACGTATTTGTTACAAGCCCACTTTTTCTGCTTATTTTAGCAATAGTATTTAGAAACAGAAATTCTCAGGCTTCTGTTTTAATGAACTCTCTGGAGTTCACTTGTAATAGTGCTTATTGTGATAAATGACAAGGTCATACCAAGAGAAGGCCCTTTAAAACACTTCAGTGGATTAAAAGGTTCTCAAAACCTTCCCCAAAGGTAACTGATTTGATCTGACTATATGAAAGCAAATGAAAAAAATCAGTATAATTTTGTTTTCTGACATTTGGAATTGATTTTATTTATTTGCATTATTCATAATATAACCTCACTAAACGGATGGATAACTTAAAAGTTAGGAGAAATGGAAACTTTTGTTTGGAAAAATAGCATCAGATGTTGGAAGTGATGAGACTGCCATATGCTCCAACCTGCCTTAGTCCCCTTCTAGACCCCAAAAGATATCTACGCGCAGGACAATGAGTCAGGGATAGAAAAGGCAGAGCACTGTTAACACCTTCCTATTTCCTAGAGATGGACTCCAAACTTCAACAGAGAACTCTAGAAAACCTAGGCTAAATTAGATGGAAACTTCCTTCTGCCTAGCCTGAAAGCCTGTATTATCTTCTTACCTTTGAACCCAAATCAAAACCTTAGATATTCCCATTCCATGGACAAAGGAATCTCAACATGCACCTGCCATCACCAGAAACATTAAACCAGAGAGCCAGCACACAAGGAGCATGTTTCCTAAATATTTATGGTAGATCTCACAGGGTCCAGAAAGAGAAAAAAGCTGAAACGGTTGACAGCAGCCATATGCTCTTACCTCTGGCCACATGCAAAGAAAAGACTAAAGAGAGACTACATACAGTTCTTCTCATTAGACAGCAGGAACTTACCCACTCAGGTGGCCAACATAACACTCGTGGTGCTGATAAACTAGATCAGTACTTCCCATCCTTGGGAGTGAAGGAAAGGGTGGGAGAAACCTTAATCTTTGCTCAATCCTTCAGGAGAAATAAGGAGAGATGGGTGGTGGGAGCCTTGAACCCTCTGCCCCAAAGGCAACATCTACCTTATAATGGAATTTGCAGTAAACTGCCTGTCCATTTGCATTAACCAGCTTGAAAGTATGTGATCCATATCCATTCATGTGCCGATGTCCATCTGGAATCCCTCGATCACTGAACAAGAAAGAAACCTAAGAAACAGAAATAAAAAGCCTAAAATTTTTCAGTTTAAATCAAAGCATCCTAGGTTTTTAAGACATTGCTAAGTTTCTAGAAAATCCCTTAATAACATGGAACATACTAGCCAATTTTCCATGGAAAGGGCTACCATTATTTCATTTACAGAAAATAACAAAAAGAAGAATTTTAAAGCAGAATAACATATAAATCATTAACAGCAGAACTCAAAATTCTATGAAGGAAAACTAAAATCTGAAAACTCGTCTAACTTATTAAAAATTTATTTTAAGAGCAAATTTGTTTGGTACTACTTTCCCCTCATTTCCCTAACATAGAACTTTACCTTATATTAGAAACTTTAGTCTTTAATATTGCTAAATAGCAGTAGATAATGTCTCTAGCTAGCTATGTAAATGGGGAAAGATAATAAAATCATTCATTATAAAACTCTTCATGATCAAGAAATCTGAGGAAGCCTCCCAAAAAAGAAGTCAGAAGCCAACTCCAATAAAATAGCCAAAACTGGAGAAACATGTTATGAGGCATAATTAACAGTTCCATCCCAGGTGTTATATTATGATACAGTGAAAAAAAAAAAAAAAAGCATTCTCACCTGATGCAGAGACTCAGGACGTAGGCTCCAGAAGTCCCAGACCATGTCTGGATCCTTCAGGTGCGTTTGAGGATTTCTCTTTTGGCTGTGAATAAAGGATGGAAACTAAATAGAAAAAGAGAGAGAAAATCCAAAAACTAAGTTTACAGGAATCACAGTGTCTTACATTATAAGTTGACTATTGCCAGGTTTACAGATTATAATCTTAAATAATACAATCCTAGAATTTTAAACTGTCAAACCTTAAAATGAAATTGACTCAACATACACTA